CAATTCGTTGGCAATATCAATGAAATCGCTTCTTTTGCGAGCAAACAAGCATTTTGAAAAATCACAAAAGACACCAGAATAAAATCCGTCGACATTAATTTGCCGACGTCCTGAATTCCTCTTCGACTTCTTCAAATTCCTTCTCAGAGGCGATTTTGCTCGCCTTTAAAAAACCACTGATTAAAAGGAAGTAGAATATGAAGTTGTCGGCTGGCATTTGTTGATCTTGTAAAGTGTTCACTTCTTGAAACTCATCAGCCACACTCAGTACATGACAGATTTCAGTGAAAAATATTTCAAAATGATGCCAGTTTTTGAACCAGTGGAAAATTTTGTTCGTTCAATTCAGGTTCGCTTGTGAAAATTCATCAAAACAATACCATTTTTATTTTTTTAAATCAATCATCAGTGATGTAATTTCCAAAATTCGATTCCAATTCCAAAATGTTGAAATCATTCGATACTCAAATATAAGTTTGCTACAGTTGTTGGTTTCGAAAATGGTTAAATAAAATTGAATAGGCTATTCCTAGCTTGTGCGATTCGCTCTTATCAAAAGTCAATTGAGCACTCAGTGCGGATTGGTCGCCGATGATTCTTAGAGTACATACAAAAAAACTGCAAACATGAACGTCTCAGTGAATGGGAAGAATGTTAGTATAAGAAAATTTTATGAAGCAAATGAAATGATAAGGAATTTTTCATCGATTGTTAAACATCATGCGTTATCGTTGAATCAAGCACTGATTAACCGTTCCATTTTTTACCTGACAGCTGATAACGAATTATCATCGTTGACACTTATAAGGGAGCTTTTGCAGTGCTAATCGTATGTATTCGAATACGAACCATTTTTGCGGTTCGACATTGCGGCTTTAAGCTCGATATGATTCTTTTTTCTAGGCGAACATTCGGATAGTTTGCTATCACTTTACGTTGTCATTTAGTAATTAACATCTGGAATAAACCATTTGAAAATTTGCATGCAAAAAATGCGTAAGCCAATTGTAAATGTTAGCATTGTATTGATCTATTCACAATTCAACCGCACTCCATATCCCATCTGAAACCACCTTCAGAATGGCATCTCTTTTGTTTGAAAAGGTGTTCATCATTGAATTGTCTTTGATCTTCTAATTTCTTTGCGCCCAGCAAAATTTCAATCCAATTAAGCGTATTTGATAACATTTATCCTCGGCGATCATCATTTTCTTTTAAAAATATTCTAAAAGATTGAGCTAGAGCTTTGAAAATAGTTCGATTAATTTATGTAATTCAGTTTCATGTTTTTTTTTTTGAGATTCGCAGTGTCTGCTCGGAATCACCGCCTTTTGTTTGAATGTAACTGAACTTTCTGCATCATTCATATCGTTTTTCATTCAACTCACGGATATTTTCTCTCTTTACCATTCATTTATTCGATTGCAAATGTTTACAAACCACAAGCTTTCATCTAATAAAACTGGTAAAGGAGAACAATTGCGTGTAACAAACGACAAACATACATACCAGTGCACCATTAATACACATTCCATTTGTGTTTGTTTTCTGTACATGAAATAATGCTGTAGGTATGTACGTTTTCATTTACATTGATAATTAAATACTGATCTAACAAATTAAGATCACTTTCTTATTGCAATTGTTATTGCTGTCAGTGTGTTTCTGATGGATTATTATCGCGAATGTTACGGAGTAATTTGATCGAAATTGAATTTTAATGTAGGTCAACAACGAATGGCATTGCGATTGGATACGATGAATGTATCAAATGCGATGATACATCCCCAGCAGAATCGACAAGCATCAAACGACGTCTTTGATGTGGCTCTATCGAGTCATTCTCCACTCAGTAACGATTCTGGATTCAACAGTGATCGGATTGCAGTTGGTGAAGCATACTCAAGAAGACAATGTCAACAACCTCAGCCACCAACTACTGCACCACCTCCACTTCGAACAAAAAACATTAGCCATAAACTCACTTACGACAGTGTTTACGCTACAGATCCGGACACGAACACTAGATTCGATAAATTCGACAAAAGCTTTCAAACAAAGTATTTAGCATTCTTTTTGTTCTTATGAATTTTATTTTGACTCTCGAAGGCAATCTTTACACTCATCTTTGCGAAATGTTGAATGGTTCCTCATGAAAAGCTATTAAACATCGTCAATGGAAAAGACAATTCACAATTATGTGCTCATCTTTGACTTTTTTGTTAAATCTTGATCATGCGGACAGCATAAATATGGCGATTTTCGCATAATTCAAACTAATTTCAGTCGTCCGAATTGTCTCGCCAATCCTCTGCGCTTTCCGAGAGTGAGCGAAGAGAATCGCCCGAAATCGCCAGTTCCTGCTCCACTGATTATGCCGTCACTCAGAAACAGTAACTCAAAAACACCCAATTCTCCGTTTTTTTCACCACCTGTAGATAAAGAGAAGGATATTTATTCGGATCAATTTTCATATCGTTATCCGAATAATGAGCAACCATACCCAAACAGTGAAAAAATTGGATATTCCTTGCCGTCATCTTTCAAGCCACTGTCAACACCTCCTGCTTCATTAGCCGCCCAACAACCACCAACACCTCCTTCTGAACCACCTCCAAGTGATCCCATCGTGTCTAAGTCCATCGAAACATCAACCATACAGACAAATTCGACGCCAACAGCTCAAAAACAAAATTCCTTCTCCGATTCTGTATTCAGTTCAAAGTATTTCTCGTCCCAACAAATGTCATCAGCACGTAATGAAGTAACTCCAATTGTCAACTCGTCAGATACAATAACACCAAAACCTTCAGAAAGTATATCTGGCGAAATAGTGCAACAGAAACTGTCGTATAATAAGGCGGAGTTGCCTCCTCTAAGATATACTCGTTCTTCATCGAATATGGACATCCAACCTCCACAAACCACTTTAAGTCCATCAAAACATCAACTTTACAGAGAAAGCCAGAAGAATGAGAATTCAGACTTTGCACAAAAACTGTTCGAATCAAAAAACGCTGCTGAATTGCTGCAGCAAGGAAGTTTGCGAATATCATCACCCGGAAGATATTTCAGTGAAAAATTGAATGAAGAAACTGATTCAGAACATCTATTACTAAGTAGAGATGATGAAATGCCATTCTATAAATCAAACTTGAAACAAGCATCGTTATCATCGACTGTCCCATATGCTCAGTCACCTTCCCCAGTACTACACCACACTCTGTCCAGTCAAAAATCTAATGATAAAGATTCAGTAAACAAATATTCAATGTCGACATCACAACAAGGCAAACCCACAACTATCACTTCCAGGTAGCTGTTGATCCTATCATTAAAAAAGTTTTATGAATATTCACAAGGGCGCACGATGAAGTGCTACTGAAAGTGCATTTTTATTGCATTTGATTAAATATCCTTATCAATCTCATTTTCAGCGTCAAATCAAGCTTCTCTTCATCGCCATCTGCATTCACTAATGAACAAAATAATCCCTCGCTCGCCTCTCCAAGTTCAGTCTCGGCATCATCATTTTCAATCAACAGGCGCGCAGTTCCGGTCAATAAACTCATTGAAAAGGTTTATTAGTTGAATTTCTTGTCAATTTCTTCATTCGGTCAACCTCAGATGAAAATCAATTTATAAAACCTGAACAGGTGAATGAATGCAAATAATCGTCTAAAGCTTCGGCGTTTTAGGTACTTTAATGTTCGAACAGTGACGACTAAAGATATTCAACGCTGATCCGTCACGATAATTTTAAAGTGATTTTTCGTTTGAAAAAAGCCCAAAAGGGCTATACTCATGCTTACTGTAAAAAATAATCAGTGTTAAGTGCTATTCAATCATTTGACATTTGACAAAAAATGATTGTGCAGAATTTTACAAGAATGTCGATTGTCTGTAATCCTGATGTATTTTCGCTTGTTTCCTCTTGAATAATGATAACCATCATTTTTCAGTCCTCTTGGGTCGATCACCTATCCAAACTTTACAAATGCCAGGAACTCTCACTGAAAATCGTTCTTCATCCTTCACACAAACTATAATCTTTGAAATTTCCTTCACAATCTTTGAAATGGGAAAAAATTCTTTGAAAAACTACATGGATAGCTCAGAAACTGTTTGGACTCATGATAATTTCAGCAATCTAATGTTAATATCATTTCGATAAATGATGTTGACTCGCATTGCAGTTTTCACAAAACGATACCGGAGCACCAGTTATGCCAGCACTTTATGGAGCGAGCACGAAAAATGTCAACGCCACACCGACACTTTCTCCTACAAGAACAACAAATCTCGTTTCGCACGAAGATCCTTTATTCGCCAAATCTAAGCCGCAAACACATGAAATCACTTCAGCCGAAACCACCAAGATGGAATCAAATAAACAACGACTCTACCCTTCACTCTCTTCAGATTCAACTGGATATGCTTCCGAATTAACCACTTTACCAAAAGCCACAAGAACAACATCCATCGAGAAATCAACATCAAATGCAAATTCTCCCACTATTCGTCATTCTGATGAACAGCTGAAAACTGAGCATGCTTCTCAGTTCAACTGGACGACGAGTAAGAACACTGCAATAAATCCATCACGTTATGCAGATGAACGTCGAGAATCGATATCGAAAGAGAATTTTATGGAGCAGTCAGTCGTTGGATCATCATCAAAACAATTGAATGAATGTAAGCGAAATGATTATCATTCCTCTCATAATGTTTTCAGTCCTCATGAGATCATCAATTTGTCGTCGTCAGTCTTATCACAAAGCCAAGCTGAACTGAACATATTACCAAAAAAGGTATTTCGTTGTAAGCAATCCCTCAAAATTCTTCACCCACCACCACTCACAGATAGATGTGAAGGTTATTCACATTTCGAATTGTAAACTAGTTGCGTTGAAAAGTTGAATGAACACCACCATTTCAAAAATTTAATGCAAATCGATGAACGTTTGCATCACTTACGCTTTCCAGCTGATCGCACTTTTGTTCTTTGACAAATAGTATGGCGAATAAGTTATGAAATTGTATTGAATTAACGAATCCATTAAATTTTTATTTCAGCTTCACTTGACAAACATGGAGCATTTGTCGGTTTGGATTTCTCACGTTATGATGTGGCTGAAGAAGACGTCATTGGTCGTCCAATAGAAGCTGAGGAGGCTGAAGAAGTCGCAATTCGTCTCGCTAAGGAATTTCCTTTGAAAAGTCAAATTTGTTGGAAGGATGAACCAACTACAGAACAGGTTATATACATCAAATATTTATCTCTCAGTTATGACTTTATTGAGCAAAGATGCCAGGTTTGGTAAGTATTGCGTCGGAACAAATGAATTCGCCTCAATAAATAACCATTATTGCACGCTGTATTACTCACAAAACGCGTTAGCTTTCCTAGAATTGGTCACCTACGATTATTTAAAACTATTTAGAAGAATCATTTTAATAGTTTCAAAGTTGCAATACTTATAGTTATCAGCATGTCAGCGTTTCCCAGAATCAGAATGATATGTCCCAAATATGCATTCAATCGTGTGGAACTGGATTAAACACATTGTATTCATAATATTATAGATGGCGGAATGCAAAGAAGCCATTGGGTCAGAGTCGTTTGCCGATTATGATATTTTCACGGTGAATCTGAAAAGGTCGGCGAACTCACCGGAAGGCTCAGTTGGCGTCATATTAACTTCATCTCCTACTAGCGATCAGTATATTACGGTAACAGTTTCGTCTATATTACGATCAGCCGTCTTGAATTGTATCACATTCGCATCGAACCATTCTTTGTATCATTTTCTCCATACTTCATGCGTGATCTTTGGGGTATTCAGGTCCAGAAAGTGATAACAGGCAGCCTTGCGGATCAGAGTGATAACATCAATAGAGGTGATCGAGTATTCTTTATTCAAAATCGTTCAACGAGAAAGGTTTGTGATCTTTTACAGAATTAGAACTTTCACTCAGTTTTCCTTATGGTTTCGTAATTTTCAATAAAACAACACTTGTTCGCTTGTCATTTATGTGCATGAATGACAAGCGAACAAGTGTTGTGTTTTATTGAAAATCATGAATTTTGAATGAATTTATCATCGTCCATTTGAGGCTCTAAATGTGATAAATTCTGCAAAAATGAAGAATATTTCACTGTTTTGATCCGTTCGAATCAATTTTCGTTGAAATTCTTTCCTCATTCTAGCATCAGTCGTAATCAGGGTTTGCACGGGATCCCGAGGATCCCGAATCCGGATTTTTGAATCCCAATCCCGGGATTCGTGGTATCGGGATTTACAGGATTTCCGAGAAACATAACACAAGTCATTTTGTCTAAATTTGGTAGTATATTCGTCACGGATCAAGCATAAATCATTCCCAGCTCATTCAAAAGCACCCATATTTTTTGTTTATCACTCAACTGATCCACTGAATAAAATGATCGTCCTATTAATGGTTTGAGCTTTATTACACTCGCAAACAGCAAATATCTTCATGCGGTTTTGGATTCTACAGTACTCCATTACCTTGTTCTGTCAGGATTTTGTTAATGAATCATTACAAAATTACGAAAGCAGACATTACTCAAGATCACTGTACCTGTCCTGCATTGTTGGTGCTTTGTTTTGTTGAGCTTTGATGAATGATTTGTTAAATAAACTGTTTCCTGATTAATTATGAGCTCAAAAAGAGTTTGTTAAACAAGTTATTTTTCTATATTGGAAAAGTTGCTTTTCAATCGCATGATTGAGAAAATGGTCGGCATTTTGCAAACCCTAGTCGTGATGTGGTCAACTTTCAGATGTCCACTTCTGATGCTCGATCGCTCATAAAAAGCCCCTCACCGGTGGTTTCGTTCGTTCTTGGTCGCCGACATACTTCTAATGTCTTCAATTTCACTTCAGCTCCACTCGAGATGTATTCTACAGGTATCCATCTAGGTTCTGATCATATCTTCTGTTCTTCTGATCGTTCAACGCTTATTTTCAAGTAATATCCGCACACTTTTCGATTGAGTAATCTTGTCAGGGTAGCACTCATCCATATAAGGAACTGAATTGCAGTGTCATGCGACCCAGATCGTTTCCAATATTCCTTAACACCGGAAGACGTCGTTTTAACGAAGGGTAATCTTGGTGTGGGTCTTTCTCTTGATGGAGGCAAAGGATCAATCTATGGTGACCGACCTATTATTGTAAAGAGGATTTTTGAAGGTTGCTTTCTTGTTTTTTTTTTCCGCGACATATTCATCAGTTTGTCGTTTGCCATCATTAGCGGAAGACATGCTTATTGCCAGTAAAAAGATAAAACTCTCCAATAAAATCCCCATTGATATAAGGTGTCAAACTGAACGTAAATCGTCTAATTTTTGATTGCATTATTTTATCAAACGGGTTTAGTGATACAAAGTCTCTTCAGGTGGATCAGCTGCGAAAAGTGGTCGGGTAAAAGTTGGTGATCAAATAGCTGCGATTGATGATATGCCGACAACGGGAATGTCTTATTTAGAGGCAACGAAGACGCTGCGTTCTCGTCCCGAAGGACCGGTTAAAATAACTATTTACAGTCGTATATAGTTCCCTGAAGCAAACAAACCTTTTTCATGCAGTAAAAGTCGGTTGTGATGGTTCCTAGACAGAATGATTCCATGTAACAAAGTCTTGATTTCTGTCCTAATTAATCTACTGTGTCCTAATTTGATGGCTGCAAACTTTTTTGGCACAGTTTGCAATCTATATGCTCAATATGGTTTCAAGCCTCAGAATTTGCTCACGCTTTCATCATCCTTTTCTATTCTTTCAAATCAACAATCGAATGAAATATCTGTTACCTTAGCAAAAAAGTTATTCGAGCTTCTATAGTCTAAGATTTGTTTCAGTTTTTGGATGTCTTAGTTCTTTAACAAGAACTCTTTCGGTTGCACACTTTCCAGTTCAGCTCAACCAAATTGGTTGCAAAAATTGAATCGCATAAAATATAAATGTGAAGAATTTTTTTCATGCGAAATGAATATGTTTCTCATTAATCAAACGTTAAGTATATGCGCCCAGCCTTCATTCACGTTGCAACATTACGACGTTCATCACATTCGTCATCACATTATTCCTTCATTTTTGCTTCTGATTATTCTGCTGATAACATTATATAATTGCCTTCTGTTATTGCCTTTTCATGGTCGTTTCAAATTCATTTGAGGGGTACACTTCAGTTGTATAAATTATTCCCTATATCAGTTCTTTTCTCATCATTATCATTAAAATTCGTTTTTATGCACATTCCATGTGAACTGTTATCAGATTCATTGCTAAATAAACCGTATAAAATCTTTCTTCTGATCACTATTTTTCGCGTTTCGTTAAATTTTGTTCAAATCATTTCTCTTGTTTCCTTCTAGAGTTTCGTTAACGAAAGAGATTCTGTGATAGTGTTATAAACCATGTTGTAATATTGCTTGAAAATACCTTTTCCCAGTGTGTTTCTCTCTTATGATGTGAGGTGATTAACGTATTGACGCTAATTAACTAACACTTTCATCTCACAGTATCATATTTTCGTGACTCCATAATTTATCATTTCACTACGTTGATAATTTAAGGAGGAATTGTTCGTAACAAGGAACTGTGCTTGTAAGGATCGAAAGCATGCTTCGTGGCAGATATAAGCCAGTTCATAATTGTTTCTTCTTGAAAGTTCAGTTGTTACAAAGGCATTCAGTGAAATAACAATGAAAAATCATGACTATCGTATAGCTCAGCACACGGCTGAATTGAAATAAACTATCAAGCGTAATATTGAAAGCAGAAAATGATATCATTTCCTAATTGCACCTTTTCATGATATATTCACATTGACTACAATCGATTATTAATTTCAAGTCGTGTCACTAAAATTTGAAAATTGCAAAATGTAACGTTGTTTTGCTTTATTTTTTATAAGATTGCGCACTGATAATATTTAATTAAATTGATCATAAAAAATTGTTCACTGGCGTATGCATAGCGTATTCGCAAAGCGAAGTGTGAATCAGAACATGATCCATCTCTTAAATGATGTTATTCCTCATTTTCTGAAATGTTTTCAAACCGAACGTAGACGGCACAATGGGTCGTTCCGGTTTGCACTCGCATTCAGTGAATGCTTTCTTATTTTGCCATATCATCATCGTTTGCTTGCAGTGCTTCTTTTACTTTATCAGTAAAATATTACGTTCCATTTGTATCATCTCATGTACTTCATTCACAAACCAGTCCTAGTTGTTGAATGTGTGAACCTGAACAAATTTTAACTTCAATTCCGGTGAAAATTTTTACCTTTTAATATTTTAAACAATTTCAATAAGAATTAAGAGGTAGGTTTGTCAGAAAAATAAAAGCAAGCAAAAGGATATTTCGAGCGTGATTCAAATTTAAGTGAAGCTGAAGAAGTGAAGTGATGTGAAGCAAGAACTCACCGTCTTGGTGAGTTCTTGCGGTCACAAATAGTGTTCGTCGGGGAGCAGTTTTTCGCACGGGGGGGGTCTCCGTGGGGAGAAAAT